CACATAATAAGAAGCAGATTAACCTCTCTACAGGCAATGAAAGCATAACAGAAAAACTTACCCACAAAGCAGAGGAAACTATATCCTAAGGTTTTAAAATTACCCCAAATTATTAAGATAACGATCTACAGTGTGAAAGAATAACATAACCCAAATTAATAAAAACTCAAAAATCAATTAATAACATCAAGAAATAATTCAGAAAACAACATAAAACAAGATATTTCAAAAATGAAGACTAGATCAGAATGAACACAAAGGAGAACAAAGAATACAAATAATGTCATAGGGGAAATAAAGCTTGAAAATTACGAAAGGTGGGGAAGGTACAGCTCAGTGGTAGAGTGCATGCCTAGTATGCACAAAGTCCTGGGTTCAATCCCCAGTATCTCCATTTAAAAAAACAATTAGGAAAAAGTTCAAAATAAAAAGGAATTTAATGGCTACATACTATATGATTCTAAATGTATACGATATTCTTGGGAAGGAAAACTCACAGAGCTAGAGAATAGATCAGTAGTTGTGAGAAGCTAAGGGAAACAGGAGGAAATGTTTTGGGGGTGATAATGTAAATGTTAAAGGTAAATATGAAGAAGAGATCAGGAACAAGATTAAGATGATGTTTTAAAACCAACAACAAAAAAAAGAACACAGGGAAAGAACATCCAACATAGATATTATGAAATAAAGAAAAACTAAAGCAAGAGAATGGAACAATTACTAAAAACTATAATTCAAGATTTCCCTGAAATTAAATACATATATATATATATTCAGAAGAATATATATATCCTTCTCCCTGGAATAAATATATATATATATATATATATATTTATTTATTTATTTATTTCTGTAAAATTAAATATATATATAAATATATATTCATATGTATATAATATATATATACGTGTGTGTATACATATACACACACACACATACATGTATATTTGAAACTAGATAATGATAAGGTAAATGACATATGGAGGAAAAAAATCAAACCAGAATAACACTGAGACATAGTTTAGTAAAAATTACTAGACGTTAAAGAAAAAAATAATAATCTCTTGCACATTAAGGAAACAATGACCAAGTAACTTACAGAAGAAAGAAAAATCAAAAATTTTCAGATATTTTACAGCAACTTTAAGGCCAAAGGAAAATTTCATATATACATATATATAGATACAGATAATACGTCAATGATTTTTCTATCCAGTTAAAATAAATTTCAAATATAATGGCTGAAGAGAAACTACCATCAATATCCAAGAACTCAAGAAATATCATCCCTATGAGTTCCTCCTTTGGAATGTTAATGTGACAGCATCAAAAAACACTGAGAAAAGATTGAACAGCCCAATTACTAGAGAGACAGCAAATAAAAACTAGTGGTGAGCATTTAGTATACATTTACATGTACAACTGAAATGGAGCAGGAGTGGGGTCCTCCCTGGTACAAATCCTTTCCGTGTCCTCCGCTTCTTGTTTGTAAGAAATAGGCTTCATACAGCCTCCTTGACCTTCCCCGAGTTCCAAAGGGCAGATTCAAACAGTTGCTAACCAGAGAAGGGAGGGGATGCAGAGACAAGGGGCAATAGTCAAGAAAGAATTGTACAGCCTTGGGGCAGGGTTCTGGTTCCTCCTCAAGGAATACATATGCGTAACCACATCTCTGACTTCTTCTACAGGAACTAAGGCGCCTACCCAGGTGGAGGATGGCAACAGGTGCAGCACAAGATCCCTGGCACCACCCTGTTACCTCACCGCAAACCAATCAGAAGAAAATCACACACTCTGCAACCCTCACGCCAAATTTTGCCTGTAAAACCTTTTCCCTGGAAACTGTCGTGGAGTTCAGGTTTTTTCGAGTGCGAGCTGCCTGTCTTCTTTGCGTGGCCCTGTAATAAACCTTTCTCTGCTCCAAAAATCTGATGTTTTGGTTTGTTTGGCCTCACAGTGAGTTGGCAACATGAGTAGGAACAAATGTGGCCATGACAGAGTATAGCATACAAGGTCTACATGCTAGGAATATGTAGCTAGAGTACAACTATTGAAGAAAAAAATGTAGCAGTGAGAATACATATCCCCAGATGTTTATTTCTAAATACCATTAT